GATGTTCCTCTCTCATCAATGTTTCTATCTTTCTCTCCCTCTCCATCCCTCTCTCTCTCTCTAAAAATAACAAACACAAGTGATTAAGATTGACAGCTGACAGACAGGCAAAAGGGTTCATTGGTCCCACCTGCTTGCAGCCAAGGCTGTGAGACAGACACAAACAGAGGAGCAGTGGATTGCTTGGAGCTTCAACACCATGCTAAAAGCCAAAGACGGTGCCTGACAGTCATCAGCACATAACTACCTAAAGGAAGCCCAGAATTGGCAGATAGAACAGAAGAGTGGGGTATTTAATACCTTTGGGGTATTAAAATACCACTGAATCAAATGACACTTCACTTACTATTTTTTATTCTTTTAAATAAAAAAGTTAGTATTACTTTAATTTTTAATTTTTATTTATTTATTTTTTCACCATTTTCTTCCTTGATTCTCCATTTTTCATCCTGTTTTTTTCTTCTTTCCCAACTTTAGTTTTTCTCTTTCATCATTTTTTTTATCACTTTTAAAAAATTGATCTTTTTTATCTGCTTAATTGATGTGTTATTATTATTATTATTATTGTAGTCTCTGTTGGCTTATTCATATATCTAATTTTCTCTTCCATACTCATCCCACATTTCCCCTTCTTTTTTCTCTCTCTCTTTTTTTTTGCTACTCATTTCCCCCCTCTCCTCTCTTTTCTTCTCCTATTTTTTAAATTAGTTTCAGTTCCTAAATTCAAGCCTATTTGCTCTCTCCTCTAGTCTCCTTTTAAAAAAGAAATAATTAAAATTTTCTTCTTCTTATCAACTCATTCTCTTTCTTCCTCCTTTATACTACACCATGATCTTTCCCCTATTCATCCAAGTCCTTAAACTGATTTTCTGTATTTGAGCTCTGTCTCTACAGATCCTGCCCCCATTTTTTTCTGGGTGTTTTTTGTTTGTGCTTTTTGGTTTATCTATTTGTTTTGTTGTATTTTCTCCCCATATTCTTTTTTTTTCCTTTTCTCTTTTTATTTTCTTGCTATCACTTTTGGTCTCTTTTATCTCTCCTAATTCTCTTTTCTCTGATGGTCACTTTTATCACTGTTTTAGGTGTCTTGTGTACATTTGTTTTCTATTCCTTTTGTGTCATGTCTTGTCATGTTGTATTTTGTGCTGTTTGGTTAGTACCTCCACAACAGTTGGCACTACATGGTAGACAGAAAGCCACATAACAAAACACCATGAGAGAAGACTCCATCCATGAAAAGGACAGTAAAAACATTCAAGATCCAACTATAATAAGAAAACCTAACTATCTCAAGTAGGGGACATCCCTAGGATACCCATCCCAGAAGACCTGAGAGACTGAACCATTGGGTTCCTCAAAACACCTACTACATAAGACAAATTCAAAAAATCTGGGTGGCATAGCAGTTTGATCTAATATATAGAAATGATTACAAAGGAACTGCGAAAATGAGGAGAGAAAAAAACAACTCCCTTGCCGGGACCGGTTTGGCTCAGTGGATAGAGCGTTGGCCTGTGGACTGAAGGGTCCCGGGTTCGATTCCGGGCAAGGGTATGTACCTTGGTTGCGGGCACATCCCCAGTGGGGTGTGTGCAAGAGGCAGCAGATCGATGATTCTCTCTCATCGATGTTTCTAACTCTCTATCTCTCTTTCTTCCTCTCTGTGAAAAAATCAATAAAATATATTTTCTTATAAAAAAAAAACAAAAAAACTCCCATATGAAAGAAAAGGAAGAATCATCAGAAAAGAAACTAAATGAAATGGAGGCAAGAAATTTGTCAGAGAAAGAATTCAGAGTAATGATTATAAGGATGCTCAAGTGTCTGGATGAGAAATTCACCAACATGTGTAAGATCAAGAAGAAATAAAAATGACATAGGCACAATAAAGAACATAATGGAAGGTTTCAACAGTAGACTAGAAGAAGCTGAGGACCAAATCAGCAAGTTAGAAGACAAGGTAGAAAAACACCCAACCAAAGCAGTAACTGGAGAAAAAAAAAAAAAAAAAAAAAAAAAAGAAAAAAAAAAAACCTAAAAAACATCAGAAGAGTCTAAGGGAGTTTTGGGATAACACAAAACAACAAAAAATCCACATAATATGGGTGCCAGTAGGAGAGGAAGCTTAGCAAGGAATAGATAACCTTTTTGAAGAAATAATGACAGAAAACTTCCCTGACTTAGGAAAGAAGAAAGTCACACAGGTCCAAGATGCAGAAAGAGTCCCAAACAAGTTGAACCCAAAAATACTGACACCAAGACACATCATAATTAAATTGGCAAACATCCATGTCAAAGTAATAATCTTAAAGGCTGCCAGAGACAGGAAGTTACCTACAAGGGATCTCCCATTAGACTATCAACTGATTTCTCAACATATATTCATCAGGCCAGAAAGGAATGGAATGATGTATACAAGTGATGTAAAATAAGTGAATGAATCCAAGAATATTATATTCAGTAAGGCTATCATTCAAAATTGAAGGTGAAATCAGGAGCTTCACAGACAAAAAAAAGGCTAAGGGAGTTTATTATCACCTAGCCAGCAATGCAAGAAATGCTAAAGGAACTGCTGAAGAAATAGAAAGGGAAGAAGGAACACAGGTGTAAAGAATGAAAATGACAACAAACAATTACCTATCAATAATAACTTTAAGCATAAATTGATTACATGATCTATTAAGAATACATAGGGTAGCTGAATGGATAAGAAAACATGACTCATATATGTGAAGGGCTGAAAAAAAAATTTTTAGGCAAATGAAAAAAAAAAAAAAAGCTGGGGTAGCAATACTTATATAGACAAAATTGACCTCAAAGTGAAGGCCATAATGAAAGCCATTTCATAATACTAAAGGGATCGATTCAACAAGAGGATATAACTCTGGTAAACATTAATGCACCCAAATACATTAAAAAAAAAAAAACTTCTGAAAGATATCAAATACAATCATAGTAGGGGACTTTAATATCCCATTGACACACTGGATAAGTCCTTTAGACAAAAAAGAAAAAATCAGTAAAAAAATAGGAATCCTCAATGACTCACTGGATTAGATGGAATTAATTGACATCTTCAGAACATTTCACCACAAAGCTACAGAATATACATTCTTCTCAAGTACACATGGGACACTTTCAAAGATAGACCAAATATTAGGATACAGGCTAAGTCTCTACAAATTAAATAAGATAGAAATCATATCAAGCATCTTCTCAGACCACAATGGCATAAAATTAGAAATCAACAATAACAAAAACAATAAAAAATAATCAAACAAAATGAGGATAAATAGCATGCTATTAAACAATGAATTGACTACCAAAGAGATTTTAAAAAATCACTCTGGGGTGGGAGCAGACATTAATGCAAATTTGGTGATGGTTGCACAATCTAAAAATTAACTGAATGTCATGAATTTTCCCTTGTAATAAGTGAATATCATAGTATATAAATTATATCTTAATAAAGTTTCTAAAAAGTTAATAAGACGTCTTATAGTTAGTCTTTCTACAGTTTAAATTTACCACACGTAGTCCTCAGTCTCTCACAGGCTCCGTTTTCTTATTTGACTCTTTTGTAGGTTTTAGTCTGTGATTTTCTTCTACCTGCTTTCTTCTGATGATTTACCTACTCTACAGCTTCAATGGTCACCTCAATTCTGAAAGGACTGAATCTCTAGTGAATTTATGTTTTTATCTCCAACCCAAATACTCTTCCCAAATTCCATAACCAGCACTTCTAAATGTCTACTGGACAGATCCCACTCAATATTCCACAGATACTTCAGTCTTAATTCATTATCTTCACCTCAACTTCACTGTCAAATCTACAGTCCTTTTAACAAAAATTTTCAATTCTTCTTCTAGTCTATATTGAAGCATAAGTTATTTATAGCACGGGTATTATTTTATCAAACACTAAATAATATACAAACTTAATTGAAGTTCAACTTCCTAACAAATAACTAAGGCTGTGGTGACCTTAGTTTCCGTTTTCATTAAAAAGAGTAGTAGCTTTTGCCCTGGCCGGTGTCTCAGTTGGTTGGGCATCGTCTTGTGCACCAAAAGGTTGTTGGTTGGATTTTAAGGCACATGCAGGGGTTGTGGGCTTGATCCCCAGTGGGGGGCATGCAGGAGGCAGCCAGTTGATATTCTGCTCTCATATCAACGTGTCTCTTTCTTTCTCCCTCTCCCTTTCTCTCTCTCAAATTCAATAAAAGTATTTAAAAAAGAGTAGTTGTTATTAACTTGACATTTTAGTGTATACTGTATGCAGCACTATTTCTGCTACTCTTACCCCTAGACTTAGTGGTGAATGAAATAATTTCCCTGTAGTGTAGAGTTTACAGTCCAGGGACAAAGACACACACACACACAAAAATGACTGTGAAATAATAGGATCTTATCTCTAGTATGACAAATCCAGGACATTACATCCTGGAGTATACAAGAGGGGACATGTCTTTGAAATTTGGATGATCTTGCACTCCATGGAGAAATCACAGATTAACAGAGGATGAGGGGTTTTTACCAATCTCAGAAAATGTTTACAATTTGATGGCTGAAAAATAAATGATGCTTTAATTTTCATTTTTTAGATAAGTAAATAGATTGACTACATTTTCCTGTTTATGAGACTTTTTAATTTCCTCTTCTATGAATTATCTTTTCATACCCTTTCCCATATTTCCCTGAAGTCTACTATCTTTTCTCATTAATTCATAGAAGCATGGATTGCACTGTGATCCAGGCCATACAAAGGTCAGGCACAGTTGGGGTCAGGAGCCCATTACCTGAGGATTCAAGGCTGGGGTCAGGGTTGGGTCAGGGCTAGGTCAGAGTGGGCCAGTTTGGGGTAGGGAGGCAGTAGGGGGCTTAGGGCAGGCCCAGGGATGGGTCAGGGCCAGGGTCAGAACTGGGCTGAAGTGGGGAGTAAGGGCAGGGTCAGGGCGGGGTCAGGGCCAGGGTCAGGGCGGGGTCAGGTTGAGTTCAGGGCCATGGGCAAGGAGAAGTGGACATGTGGAGGCCGAGGCCCAGGTTGGCCAGTGGCCCTTCTCTGGCTACTGCTGCTACTGCCCTTGGCCGCTCCGGGGCTGGGACGGTTCCTGGCCACGGCCACCCGGGCCGCAGCTCCAGGCCAGACAGTGGCGAGCGGGGCCCCCGCCCCCACCGTGCAGCGGTTGGCTCCGGGAGTCCCAGGTACAGGGGCGGCGTGGTGTGGGTGAATTCTGGGCACTGCTGGGCTGGGACCGGATCCAGTGCCCGGGGTCACCCGGGTCGTCCTCCCCTTCCCTAGGCAGCCCAGAGACCGCTCTGCCCAGGCGGGGTCTCGGGCCCTTCCTCCACCGGGGCCTCCGGTGGGAACCGCCCCAGGACGGAGGGGGTTGGGGGGTGGCGCTGGGTGGAGGAGAGCACCAGGAACACCGAATGAGGGGCCCTGAGTCAGGCCCGGGGTCCCAGTCCCCTTCGTGAGGCACCAGCACAGCCCTGGACAAGGATGCACCTCTCCGAGCGTCTGGACACACCCCTGCGCCCCATCCTTCTCAGGTGTGAGTCCTAGAACCAGGGTCATAGTCCTGGCCCATCCCTCTTCTTTTCCTTTACAACTGCACTTGACAGTCAATGTTACTTCAGATTAGCTTCATACGTGTGCATCATAGTGCTTAGACATCTATAGACTTTATGAAATAATTCCCTATTAAGTCTAGTACCCACCTGGCATCCTACATAGTTATTACAACAGTATTGACTGTATTCCCTTCTCTGCACTTTACAGCCTCCTGACATTTTTGTTGTTAACCCTCACCTGAGGATATGTTTTTCATTGATTTTTAGAGAGAATAAGAGGGAGGGAGATGGGGAGGGACAGAGAGAGGGGGAGAGTGATAGAGGGAAACATTAATGTGAGAGAGACGCACGGATTGATTGCCTCCCAGACATCTGGACCAGGGGCTGGGTATGTGGTCTTAACTGGAAGTCAACCCGGGGACCCTTTGGTGTATGATAGAGTTTACTGTCTATGTTTTCTTATAGAAAATTTGTGGTTCGGGTCTTGTATTTTAGTCTTTAAACCATGTTGAATTTATGCTTGTATATGGTGTAAGAAGGTGGTATATTTTTCTTTCTCCCTCTCTTTCTCTTATTTTTTCACATGTATCTGTCCAGACTTTTCAACACCATTTACTGAATGAACTGTCTTTACCCCACTGTATATGATTGCCTTATTTTAATAAGTTAATTGGGCATATACATGTGAATTTATTTCTGAGCTCTTTATTCAGTTCCATTGATATATGTATCTATTTTTTATGCCAACACCATGCTGTTTTGATACTATAGCTTTGTAGTACAATTTGATATCAGGTAGCATGATACCTCCAACTTTGTTCTTTTATCTCAGGGTTTCTGTGGCTAGTCAGGGAAATTTGTTGTTCCATATAAACTTTAGAATTATGTGTACTAGTTCTGTGAAAAAAATGCAAGTGGTATTTTGATAGGGATTGCATTAAATCTATAGATTGCTTTGGGTAATATGGACATTTATGTGATGCGAATTCTTTCTATCCATGAGCACAGTATATGCTTTCACTTGTTTGTATCTTCTTCAATTTCTTTCTTCATTGTCTTATAACTTTTCTGAGTACAGATCTTGTCCCTTCTTGGTTAAATTTATTTCTAGGTGGGGTTTTTAATGCAGTTTTAAATGGGATTGCTTTCTTAATTTCTCTTTATGATAGCTCGTTATTGGTATATAAAAATGCAGTAATTTTTATATCCTACTTTACTAAATTCATTTATCAGTTCTAGTAGTTTTTGGTGAAATCTTTAGGGTTCTTTCTATATAATATCATGTAATCTGCAAATGATGATAATTTTACTTCTTCCTTTCCAAGTTTGATGCCCTTTATTTCTTTTTCTTGTCTTATTGCTGTGGCTAGGGTGTTCAATATTATGTTGAATAAAAGTGGTGTAAGAGCACATCCTTGCCTTGTTTCTGATCTTAGGGAAAATACTTTTTGCTTTTCACAGTTGACTATGTTAGCTGTGTTTTTGTCATATATGGCCTTTATGTTGAGGTATGCTCCCTCTATTCCAACTTTGCTGAATGTTTTTAATCATAAGCATATGGTGGATTTTATCAAATGCTTTTTCTGAATCTATTGATATTTTCATATGAATTTTTTTATCCTTCATTTTGTGTATGTAGTGCATCACATTAATTGGTTTATAGATACTGACCCAATCTTGCATTCCAGGAATAAATCCCACTTGGTTATGGTATATGATCTTTTTCATGTATTGCTAAATCCAGCTTACTGTTAAAAAAAAATTTTGGACCTATGTTTATCAAGAATATTGGCTTATAATTTTCTATTTTGGTAATATCTTGGGTTTTGGAATCAAGGTAATGATGGCCTCATAAAATGAGCTTAGGAAGCTTCTCTCCTCTGGGAGTTTTGGAATTCTTTGAGAAAGAGAGGTGTTAGTTCTTCTTTGAATGTTTGATAAAATTTGCCTGTGAAGCTATCTGGTCCAGACTTTTGTTTTTTGGAAGTAATTTTTAAAATTATTATTACTGTTTTGATTGATCTTTTCAGATGTTCAGTTTCTCTTGATTCAGTCTTGGGATATTGTAGGTTGCTAGGAATTTATCCATTTCTTCCAGATTGTACAAAGCATTGGCCTACAATTGTTTGTGTTATTTATTTATTTTTTTTATAAACCTTTGTATTTCTGCGGTAACGTCTCTTTTATTTCTGTTTTTATTTATTTGGGTTCTCTCTCATTTTTTCTTGATGAACTTTGTTTATAGCTTTATCCATTAAAATTTTTTTTTTCAGAGAACCAGCTATTGGTTTCATTGATGTTTTGTAATGTTTTTTAGAACTCTTATTTTGTTCATTTCTACTCTGTTATTATTTTCTTCCTTCTATTCACATTGAGCTCTATTTGTTGTTCTTATTCTAGTTTCTTTAGGAAGTTCAGATTGTGTAAGGTTATATTGTATATTTGAAATTTTTCTTGTTTCTTGAGAGAGGCCTGAATTTCCCTTTTAGAACTGCTTTTGCTGGGTCCCATAGATTTGGGGGCATTATGTTTTTACTTTCATTTTTCTCAAAGTATCTTGATATATATGGAATATTTCAGAGAGGAAGGGAGAGGGAGATAGAGACAGAAACATCAATGATTAGAGATAATCATTGACTGCTGTGTCCTGCACAACCCTTACTGGATCGAGCCCACAAGCCAGGCATATGCCTGAGCGTGAATTGAACTGTGACCTCTTGGTTCATAGGTTGACACTCAACCACTGAGCAACAGTGGCTGACTCTCTCAAAGTATCTTTTGATTTCTTTTTTTGATCTTGTTGTTAACTCATTAATTGTTTAGTAGCATGTTATTTAACATCCATGTGTTTGTGTGTTTTTCAGTTTTTTTCTTATAATTGATTACTAGTTTCACTATCATTGTGGTTGGGGAAGATATAATTTAAATCTTCTTAAATTAATTCAGACTATTTTTCTGTGGTCTAACTTATAAAGTATTCCATGTGTGTTTTGAAAGAATGTACATTTTGCTACTTTGGGATGAAATGCTCCAAAAATAACAAAGTCATCTGGTCTATTCTGCCATTTTAGGATGCTGTTTTCTTGTAGATTTTCTATTTGGATGATCTATCTATCCATTGATGTCAATGAGGTGTTAAAGTCCCCTAGAATTTACTGTGTTACTGTTAAACTCTTATGTCCCTCAATATTTGCTTTATAAATTTAGGAGTTCCAACAGTGCTACCTCCTCTTCTTTCAGAAATGGAGAATCTTGCATCATAGAGGGGGGAATGAGTTCCTCCCCACAGCATCAGGCTCCTGCCTGTGAACCTCTGCCTGAGATACTGGGGTGAGGTGGAGGGGCACAGACACTTAGAAGCCATGATCTTGAGCAAGGCACATTGTTATCCTCTGAGACCTTTAGGTCTTTGCTCTTTAGAGTGTGTGTAGCATGTCCTATTGGGGAAATAGGGTCTGTGATATGTGAGCCCTTGGAAGGCCCACTTTGAGGTATCTGTCACCCAGTAGATGCTTGCTGTGGCCACCTATGCTCCCTTTGTCCAACCCTACAGGGTTTTCTCAGCTGTTCTCTGCTGCCCAGTCCTTAGCAGCAGCCAGTGAAGGCAGAATCCAGGGAGCCCTGTGATTTTTGCCAGGCTACTTGACCCTTGGCCTTGCTTTTTAGGTGGAGAAGAGCTTCCCTGGTAGTGGCATTTGGAATACCATCAATTTCTCTATCATAGGCCAGGGGAATTTCTCCACAGTGTGTGGGAAGCCCAAGGTGATGGGGAAGATCTATGGTGGCCAGGACGTGGTGGCTGGCCAGTGGCCATGGCAGGCCAGTCTGCTGTACCATAACACGCACATCTGTGGAGCTGTTCTCATCGACTCCTGCTGGCTGGTTTCCACTGCCCACTGCTTTCTCAAGTGAGTCCTCCTTCTTGGGGCTCCAGCAGATGGGATGGTGGAGGAGGAGGTGCAGGGAAAGAGGAATAAAGGGGTGACGAATGTCTTCACAACCTGAAATGTCTTTCCCACTCACCTGCCCAGATCCTCCTCATCCTTTATCCTGAGCCCCTATGCCTGTCCAGCAAGTGTTGGCAGTGCCCATCCAAGCTGTGGATTGGCTCTTTGCTGACTCAGAGAATGGCTTCTCCTTAATGTCCTCGTATTCCTGACTGGGTAGGGGCCTGGGTTTGCAAGGACAGCCAACCACTAGGCAATTCTCATCACTTCAGCAAAAGTGCATGCCTGGGAGGTTCCGTTGTGCCAGACTGAGTGGGACTCTCTGACGTTAGAGAGTGACATGGCCACTCAGGAATCTTAACTCCTCTGGTCCTTCTGTGCCTGGCTCAGTGCCTAGTTTCTAAACAGTCAAGGAAGGAACCCAAGGAAACAGAGGCATCACAGCCTAAGTCAAAAAGTTGGAGCTCGTGTACCAACTGGCTTTGAGAGCCCAGAGTCCTATTGGCACCTTCTCTGTGCCACGCTCCATGTGACACCCTCTGTGGCATAGGGGGTGGCAAGGCCCTACTCCCCATGCCTCTGTTCTATCAGGAAAGAAAGCCCGACACGGGGTGAGAAGGGCTGACCTCTCAGGAGACTGGCCTGAGGAGGGGCTGTCCTGAGAAGGGTTTTGGTCATGAGGAGCTCGGGGAAGGGCTTTCCTGGTGGATGAGCCATGTGAACAAAGTCAAGAGGTGGGAAGCTTTATCACTCGTGTTCAGGGAACAAGGTGAGGTTTTGATTCCCGCACTCGTTTGCTCACTTACACATCTTTTGTGAGTGCTTATAACCAACTGAACAAGCAGCCCTTGGGTGAGAAAGTGTTTTAAGAATGAGTGGGCAGGAGGTATAGGTCATGGGAGACTTGAGAAGGGTCAGGTTAGAGCTAGGAATGAGCCAAAGCCTTGATGTGATGGTCCCACCAAAGACAATTCCAGCATTAGGAATCTCTGTTCCTTCAATTGTAGGGTATGATGGGGAAGCCATGTGCCCTGAGGTTGTGAGTAGACTATCAATCAGCTTCAGGAAAGATGGGCTTCTGACAGTGTGAAAGGGAAGAGAGATGCTGTCTTCACCATGCAGGACAGAGGGGTCCACAGGAATGTGTGCAGTTAGGCAAGGATGCAGGGAGAGAGAGCTGGTTCACATACTCAGAGATGATGGTGACTATGGGCCATTCCCCTCCAGTAAATCCAATGCCCCAAAGGACTACCAGGTTCTGTTGGGAAGCACCCAGCTGTATCAGCACACGCAGAATGCTCAGAAGATGTCTGTGAACAGGATTATCATGCACCCAGACTTTGAGAAGTTCCACCCCTTCGGGAATGACATAGCCATGTTGCAACTGCACCTGCCTGTGAACTTCACCTCCTACATCAGCCCCGCCTGCCTCCCAACCCCTGGACTACAGCTGCCTAGCCACTCGTCCTGCTGGATAACAGGCTGGGGAATGCTCAGCGAGGACAGTGAGAGGGTGTGGGAGAGGTTGTGGGATGAAAATGGGAAAGGGGAGAGGAAGGAAGGGGAAAGAAGGGGGAGGAGGGAGGCAGGAAGAAGGGAGGAATAGTTGAGAGTGTAATGTCCCCACACAAAGATGCCACTGGTCCTTGGCCCTCTCTGCCTCTTTTCCAAAGGCCTGGACCGTTTTAGTTCTAGTTCTGAAAAGTGTGTGATTCTAAAGGATCTTTGAGATTTGGAATCAGCCATAGATCTGAGATGACTTCATTCTACTTGAAGGTCATGCTGGGGTCTGTCCCATTCCAGGCCACTGCCCAGCACCTAACTTTCCCGTTACCAGAGAAGGCGCTTGGAAAAATGGAAAAAACACACACATTTATGGTCTCTAGCTCCTGATATTGCATAATCAAGTTAGAATGATCACCATCTAAGAACCTCTCAGAACTTCACTTTGGCAAATTTGCTTATTAGGTGAATTGAATAACACAGAAAAAGAAAGTTTATTTTTAGATTGAAAGGAGAAATATAGGAAAAGACTTGTGGACAGAAGTGTTTATGAAAGAAAAGAGTGTTAATAATTTGGAGAAATTCTCATGGTGTAGAGTAAAGGGAAAGGTAATATATATTTATAATTATTTGTTTGGTCATAATTTGGCATGGTCTTTCTCAACAGAGGTGCTAAAGGCATTTTGTACAGACCAGGTGTTCATTGGATAGGAGATGCCAGCATCCATGGTCTTTGCCTACTAAGTTTTAGAAACTCCCCCTAATCATAGGACAACCCAATATATTCATTCATCCTCTCTCTCTCCACACACACACACACACCTCACATGCATTTGCAATTCACACACACACACACACACACACACACACACACACACACACACACACAGTCTGGTTCTTTCTTGATAGAGGGCACCACATCTCACTTGTTCTAAGAACATAGAACCTGGCACCTGGTAGCTATTTCATTGCTGCCACTCTGGTTCAGAAATATGTTATATGAATAAAGACTGCAGGCAAGATCTACTCTTGCCTGGACCTCCAGACTGGTCTTCCAACTCCGACCCTGTGTTCTCTGCTATAGTCTCTAAACAGTTGACTACTTGCTTTAAAACATGAGCCATGTCACTTTCCCACTCAGCATCCTAAGTGCCTTGTTATTTGTGCTTAGAAAACAATATAAACTCTATAACTTAGCTATCAGCCCCTGCATGATGTTGGCTCCCATCACTCTCTGCCTCATCTCCTACTACATCCCATCATCAGTCACACCATCACAGCCACACACCAGCACAGCCACAAGGCCTCCTTCCTGCCTTCAGCATGCCAAACATCTTAGGGCCTTGACCTTGGCTATCTTCTCACTGGCTCTCCCTAATAATCTTTGCATGACTCATTTCTACTTTACATTTACAACTTAGTCCCTCCTCTGAGGAGTTGTACTTGATCATGTGAGCTAAAATAGATAATCTGTACTGTCATATCTTCCTGTTTTATTTTCTTCACACTACTTATTAGATGTAAAATAATTATATTTACATCACTTACCCTGTCTCCCCCAACAAAAATGTTTCTTTGTATCACTAGTGTTTAAAAGATAACCAGCAGAAAGATAGATGAGTAGATGAGTAACTGGAAGAGAGGATGGATTGGGGGGGGGGGGATGTAGATGGGATGATGGGTAGTAGAAGGGAAGATTGATGGGTGGGTGGATGGGTGATGAATAGATGGAGTGAGCAGATATATTGATAGATGTAGATAAGGATGGATAGGAGAATGATAGAGGGTTGGATGAAATGGTGAGTGATGAGCAAGTGGATGGAAGGTGTGTGAATGAATGGGGATATGAAGAAAGATGGATAGGTGAATGGAGGAATTAATAGATGGAAGTAAGGGAAAGTTAATGATAGAAAAATGGAGAATGTATGGGATTGTCATGAAAGGGTAGGTGGGTTGGTGAGTGGTTGCTAAGCCCCAATGAATGGCATGTGTTGGTTGGATTTGCCTTTTATCTTTGTGGAATAGAAGAAGTATGGTCTATTGTTATAAGAGAGGTAGAGGGAATAGGATGAGTTTAAAAATGTTTGAGAAACAGGACAGAAGTGATAGAGGATGGGTAGAAGACTGAAACCATGTTGCATGCCCAGGTGTGCTGAGAAGCAGTGTGTGGGAGGCAGTAGTTAGCAGTAAGACAGAGTGGGGTTCAGAGAAGCCTGGTCTCTCCAGCTAGGCTACAGTGCACTTCACTGATCTCCTTATTCTCACAGAGCAACTACTCCCACCCTTCCATCTCCAGGAGGGCAAGGTGGGTCTTGTTGAGAACAAGTTATGTAATATGTTATATGGACAAAGACTTGGCAAAGACAAGACCTACTCTGTGCATGAGGAGATGCTGTGTGCCGGGGACTTCTTGACAGGAAAGGCCATCTGCCAAGTGAGTGAGTCCATTTCTGTTCTACTTTTTCCTGAGTTTAGGGCCTCAGTTTCCCCAGGGATGCCTATATTCTCTCTACTCTCTTTGTGAGACCCCTGGTACTTCCGGTTTCCTCCCTTTGTATGTCTTTCCTGGGCTCCATCCCTCAGCAGTATCTCCCAGGCTGGTTCCTTCCTCTGCCCATTCCCCATGACACTGCCTGCTGGAAGGCCTTCAAACAGCATCTATTTAAAAAAAAAATATATATATATGGAATTCACTGCCTTGCCCTACTGGACACACATACACACACACACACACACACACACACACACACACACACACACACACACAGAGTTTGCTCTGTCTCCAAGCTAGTGTATGGCATATGTCAGTGCTGGTGTTTCCTCTGCCTTCTGAGAGCTCCCCTGGCAAGGAGGCTATTGGAGTCTTTACGAACTCCTTTAGTCTGTCCCAGAATCCATTGTCATTTGGTAGCTACATAGCTCATCTATGTGTATCCTGAAGCTTGGAGTGGACAGAGACCACTTCCCTAGACAGGGACCAGGTTTTCCCTGGCCTTAGGCAGCTGAGGGCGGGCACACTGAAGGGAAGAGCTGCATCAATGATGGTGCAGTCTCACTGTCCAAGAAAACCTTATGTGTGAGTTTCCTGGAGCTACTATGACATACACCTCAAACAGGATGATTAAAACAACAGAAATTTATCGTCTTATACATCTGCTGGTTTAAAGACTAAAATCAAGGTGTGGGTGAGTCTGGTTCCATCTGGAGGTTCTAGGGGAGAATGTTTCCTTACTCCTCCTGGCTTTTAGAGGCTGCCCACATTCATTGGCTCTTGGCTTCATCCTACTCCTCAAAAGCATCACTCCAGCCTCTGCTCTTGTTGTCACATCACCTTTTCTGACTCTAACTTCCTGCCTCCCACTTTCCTCATGGGGACCTTGGGATTACATTGGTCTTTCCCAGATGATCCTGGGTAACCTTCCTCTTTCAAAATCCCCAATTCAACCACATGGGCAAAGCATCTTTTGCTGTGCAAGGTAACATAATCACAAGTTCCAGGGGTGGGGTCATTCTTTGCCAACAAGAACCCTTCTCTCTCCTTCTAGCCACCATTCTCCAGCCCTATCTTCCAGCTTGGGAGCTTGCTTCTTATCTCACCAAGAGCATTGGAGCAGTCAGACTATCACCTGCTCATCTATCAGTTCTGCATCCTGCACCCTTCATCCTTCATCTCTGCTGAATCTCATTTCCAGCTGACCCCTCCTGAGCACTGGATGCCAGGGCTCTCCAGCTATATCCCCTGTTTCTCCCTTTCATGGCTACTGTGTGAATTCACAGCAGCAATCTCCTCCTGCTATTGCCAAATTTTTCTGTCTTTTTTCCCAAAAGACTCCTGGGACAGTAGTGAGTCTCTGACTCACTCTACCCATTTGTGTCCCCACCATGCCACGAAAGCCATGTGGCCAAAGTCCCCACCAGTCTTGTTCTTGCCAGAGCAAGGTTTTCCTGAGTCTTCTCACTCAGAACATCAAGAGGTCTCACCTACATTACCTGGGCCCCAAACTGAATAGCTGTTTTTCTCTTCTCCTGGTCACCTCCCCACCCACCATGAAATGATGGCTATCCCAGGACCCCATGCTCAGCCTGCACCAACTCTCTCTGCACCTTCTGACTGGTTGGTGAAGGAGGCTTAGATTTAATAGGTCCTCTTGACTCCTACTTCAAAATATTATCCAAAATCTGACTGTTCCTCAGCACTCTGGTCACTGTCCATCAGTAACTGCTCTCCCCCTGTGGTCGCCTTTGACTGCTCTTCCCTCTTTAACTCATGCTCAGCACTGTCCATCATCCAGCACAGCATAAGGACACACCTAGACAGATCAGGTCATCCTCTCCCCACCCCCGAGTATAGCTCTCCCCTGAGGAAAAACTTAACCCCTTTGGTATAAGGCCTTGTGACCCATATCCTCTCCACACATCCTGCTCCCCACAAAGCCAGCCTCACTGCTCTTTTCCCCATTCATCCGGCAAGTCCACTTTCCTCATTTGCACTTACGATTCCCTCTGCTCCTGCATCAGAAATGTGGGTTCTTTCCTGTTTAGACAATCAGCTCAAAAAAGCCTTATATCATCACCAGATGAGATACCCTCCCCATCCCTGTCCCTATCTCTTCCATGGCTTGTTGTCACATTGATCATATTGGGCAAATTGGCTTGTTTACAAAGAACAATGAGGGAAGAGCCTTATTTTATCACCCCTGTGCTCTCAAGTGCAGAGACTGCCATGGATCCACCCCATGCAGGTTGGATGGGTGGGTGGAAAAGTGACCAAGCTTGGTTGTGATCCTTGCTCCTGCACCTCCCAAGGATGAGAGTTTCCCTGTGGTCAATGAAGTGAGGGGACTTATAACAAGGTAGTCCTTCCATGATAGCCTCTTAGGACCCCAGTAAACCCCATAAGCTTTCTGAGTACCCCTTCCCACTCCCCCATCAATGCAGGTTGCCTCCACCAGGCATCAACAAACACATTTTCTGCCGAGACCGGTTTGGCTCAGTGGATAGAGCGTCGGCCTAGGGACTGAAAGGTCCCAGGTTCGATTCTGGTCAAGGGTATGTACCTTGGGTACAGGCACATTCCCAGTGGGGAGTGTGCAAGAGGCAGCTGATTGATGATTCTCTCTCATCGATGTTTCTAACTCTCTGTCCCTCTCTCTTTCTTTCTGTAAAAAATCAATAATATATATATATATTTTTTTTTTAAAAAAAACACATATACATTTTCTAAAGAAGCTAATAGCAAACCAAATGCCTAAATGAATGAAAAATGAAGATGATGGCATAGAAGGTGGACTTTCTCACACTTCCTCCCTGAACCAAACTGGAAGTAAAACAAAATTGGGGGGAAATCTTCCTGAATTATCAAATGAAGATTATCCGAAGAGGAAACTTTTATTCACGACTGGGCAGAGGAGGCGATCTTGAGACTTATAGAAAGGAGGGAGACATGAGAGGTGCGGGCCCACTCCCAAGTTTAGGGAGGGATATCTCAGCAGTGGGAAGTTCCCCCAGGGAAGTTCCGTGAAGTCTAGACCCCAGACTGGGCTCTGCAACTCAGAGTGCCAGAGACAGGAACAGGAGCCCAGGTAGCATCCAGCTCTGAAAGGCAGCAGGGTTTTTGCTTGCCAAGGAGAAAAACAACACTTCTTAAAGGGCTAACATGCAAGATTTTATATTGCAGCCACTCACTCTGGTCTCTGGTGGAGGGACGGCAGTGCAGACTTGAGTCATCTGAAGAGTCTCGAGTGGGTGGCTTTGGGTAGAGACATGGAAGAGCAACTGCCAGGATCCCTGTGCTAGGTATTCCTCTGATACTACAGCAGACGTTTTTCTTAAGAGGAGCAAGCAACATCAGCCTGGAGAAAACCCTCTGGAATCCTGCTCACTCCACCTTGCATCTTAAGCCCTGCTGAGGAGACAGCATCATAGGCCAGAGCATATAAGGCTGGGCAGACTTAGAGGGGTTTGTGACTGGCTTTTAATTTTTTTTTTCTAGAAGCTTCTCTACTTGAGTATTTTTTTCTACCTTGTCTTCTAGCTCACTGATGATGTCCTCTGCTTCTTCTAGTCTACTTTTGATGCTTTCTATTGAGTTCTTTACAGCAGTGTTGTCATTTTTTGTTTCTTCTTGGTTCTTCTTTATCTCCTCTTGGTTCTCACTCATATTGTCAAATTTGTCTTCCATTCTTTTCAGCCACCTTATGACCATTTCTCTGAATTCTTTCTCTGACAGGTGCTTACCTCTATTTTGTTTATTTCCTTTTCCGGTAATGCCTACTTTTCTTTTATATGTGGGCTGTTTCTTTGTCTTCCCATGGTCTCTCTTCTCCGGGTTCTGGTTATGTAGTTCTCTCTTTCCTTACCCCAGGCAAAATCTGGGATAAGGAGAGAGAGAACTTGGTCGAGTGTAGAGCTCTGAATTCGCGTGTTTGTGCCAATTGAGGACCAGTGCTCTGGGGTTCGAAGCTGTTCGGTGGGTTCTGCAGCTGTAGATTTTCAAGGCTCTGATAGCATCCACTTTCCTCTTCAGGAAGGTGTGGTCTTCATGTCTGAGCTGGGGGCTACGGGAGGGAACCCAGCAGTAGTGGGAGCTGCCTGGTCAGGGGAGCCCCATCCAGCAGTCCCCCACCTTCTCCTTTACTCACCAACAGACACTCCCCGTGTGACCTTCAGCTGTTCTTTATATCTGCTCCAGGACAAGGTTTGGGACACATTTGTCTATTCTGCAGCCATTTTGTTTCCACAGTGACTGGCTTTTGAGGAGGGTCATTCTTCTCACTTTCCCAGGACCCTGATTGGCACTTCCCTGTGGGAGAACCAATAGAAACACCCTCTTTGCTTTTGGCAGAACCAACCTCTGAATTTGGGAGGCCCCACCCTTCAGCAATTAGGGGTTCTGCCCTGCTGAGATCAAGGAATAAATCTGGTATAGACTCAGGCTTGTGGCTCTGTGGCAGAGAAACAATCTCCCCTAGGTATGCATGGCATCTCCTCCTCACAGGAGATCCAGGGATCTCATCCTCCTGATTCAAGTGACTAAGTGGCAGCAGGCCAGGAGGTGGAGGCAGTAGAGGCAGATCTCAGGGTGACTTGGGACATTAGCTAACCCACCCCTATGCTCCATGCTAGTAAAAGCTAGCCTTAAATCATTCTACTGCTGTTTTTTTCTTTTATTATTCTTTTGTTGTTGTTTTGTTTGTAGTGGTGTTTTGTTTTGTTATTGTACTGTCAGCACCTATACAACAGCTTGCATGACATGGTCAGGGTTGAGCATCTCAGCCATTCTGAGGGTAGATTCCACACACAAATGGGTTAACAATAATCAGGACCCAATTATGCAGGAAGGACCACATAACCCTCACAGGGAACATCCCTAGAACACCCAGCTCAGGAGATAAAGAGACTGTGCCACTGGGTCCCCAGGACACTTACTATATGAATGAACCCACATAGACTAGTGGTAATAGCAATTCTATCTAATACATAGAAACAAAGAGACAGATAAAATGGGGAGACAAAGAAACAACCCCCAAATGAAAGAACAGGGGGAAAAAGCTAAATGAAATGCAGGTAAGAAATCTATCAGATATAGAGCTCAAAGTAATCACTATAAGGATGTGCAAAGAACTTGGTGAAAATTACAACAGCATGAAAAAGGACATAGAAACCATGAAAAAGAATCAGTCAGAAATGAAGAATATCATATCTGACATAAAAAATACAATGGAAAGAATAAAGGTTGGATAAAGCAGAGGATTAAATCAGTAATTTGGAATACAAGGTAGAAAAAAAAATCACCCAATCAAAACAGCAAAGAGAAAAAGAATTAAAAAAGAATTAGGCTATTTTGCCCTGGTCAGTGTGACTCATGGTTAGAGTGTCAACCTACACTCCAAGAGGTCAGGGATTTGATTTGTGGTCAAGTGCATATACCTGGGTTGCAGGTTTGATAACTGGCCCTTGTCAAGGTGTGTGTGGGAGGCGACCTATCAATGTGTGTCTTTCGCATTGATGTTTCTCTCTAACTCTCTTCCACCCTCCCTCTCTCCCTGCCACTCTCCCTAAAAATCAATGGGGGAAAATGTCCTTGAGTGAGGATAAACCAAAAAAAGTGTTTTAAAAGAGGAATTGGGACAACATAAATGCAACAACATTTGTATCATAGAGATACCAGGAGAAAAAAAGTACGTAAGGGATAGAAAACCTGTTTGAATCAATAATAACAGAAAACTTTCTTAACTGGTAAAGGAAAAAAGTCACACAAGTTCAGAGAGCACCAAGGATACCAATCAAGATGAACACAGAGACCCTCACTAAGACTCATTATAATTAAAATGGCAAAGGTTAAACACAAAGAGAGAAACTTAAAGGCAGCAGGGGAGAAAAAGTTAGTTAAATACAAGTGAGTTCCCACAAGGCTGTCAATTGGTTTCTCAACAGAAACCTTCAGGCCAGAAATTATCATTATAAATAAATATTATATTATTTAAAGTTATAAAAAATAAGGACCTGAATCCAAGATTATTCTATCTAACAAAGGCTATAATTTAAAATTGAAGGCAAAAAAGGCTAAAGGAATTCATTAATACCAAACCACCATTGGAAGAAATGTTAAAGGGACTGCTTTAAGAAGAAGAAATATATATGTAGAGAAGAACCTAGGTACAAAGAAAAAGTGACAATGAATAAGTATCTAGCAATAATGACCTTAAATGTAGTAGATTAAATGTTCCCATCAAAAGATATAGGGTAGCTGAATGGATAAGAACACATGACTTGCTGTTTACAAGAGACTCACCTTAGAACAAAAAATTCACACTGAAAGTGAAGCAATAGATAATAATATTCAATTTAAATGGAAATAAAAGTATACTAGAGTAGTATACTTGTATCTGACAAAACTGACTTAAAAACAAAGGCCATAAAAGGGACAAAGAGGATCACTACATAATACTAAAGGGAAAAATCAAACAAAAGGATACATCCCTGTTAAAAATATATGCACCCGAATATACAATATAGGAACACCGAAATATACATATTTTAAAAACTATTGGTAGTCAGTGCATAGAGCTTTGGCCCCGCAGGTGGAAGGGTCCGTTTTAATTCCAAACAAGGGCATGTACCTTGGTTTCAGGCTCCTCCGTGGCCCTGGCCCAGGCCCTGGTCCGGGTGCATGCAGAAGGCAACCAATTGATGTGTTTCTCTCACATTGATGTTTCTCTCTGTCTTTCCCTCTCTCTTCCACTTTCTCTAAAAATCAATGAAAAAATATCCTCAGTGAGGATTAAAAAACAAACAAACAAACGGTAAACTATTGGTAGCCTTTAAGAGTGATATCAACAGCAATGCAGTAATAGTTGGGACTTCAACATCCCATTGACATCAATTGATAGATCTTACAGACAAAAAAATGAACAAGGAAACAGAGACCTTAAACAACACACTAGAACAGATAGATTTAATTGATCTTTATAGAACATTTCATCCCAAAGCAGCAGAATATACATTCTTCTGAAGGCACATGGAACATTCTCAAAGATAGACCACATGTTAGGACATAAAATAAGTCTTAACAAATTCAAGAAGATTGAAATCATAGCAAGTGTCTTCTCATATCACAATGGCATGAAACTAAAAATCAACAATAAAAATTCAAAAAAGCCAAACACTTGGAGGCTAAATAGCATGTTATTAAACAATGAGTGGGTTACCAATGAGATCAAGAAAGATATGAAAAATTAAAAGTGAACAAATTAAAATGAACACACAACAACCCTAAAATCTATGGGACATAGTGAAAGCAGTCATAGAGGGACTACTTCAAGGAGCAAGAAAAATCTCAATCTAACCTTACACCTAAAAGAACCAGAAAATGAACAAGATAATCCCAGAGTAAGCACAGGAAAGAAATCATAAAGATTGGAACGAAAATAAGTGACATAGAAACTAAAAAACAAACAAACAAACAAATAAAAAACCCAAAAAACAAAAACAAATGATCAATGAAACCAATAATTAGTTCTTTGAAAAGATAAAATATATTGAACCTTTAGCCAGACTCATTAAGAAACAGAGAGGACCCAAATACATAAATTCAGAAATGAAAGAGAAGAACTTAACTACTGACATCACAGAAATATAAAGAATAGTATGAAAACACTAAGAAAAACTATATGCTAAAAATTTTGACAACCTAGGTAAAGAGGACAAATTCCTAGAAACATACAATCTTTTAAAACTCAATCAGGAAGAATCAGAAAACCTGAATAGACAGATGACAACTAATGAAATTGAAACAGTAATCAGACATCTCCCAGCAAACCAAAGTCCTGGACCAGATGGTTTCACAGGGAAGTTTTACCAAACATTTCAAGAACTAACACCTATCCTTCTCAAACTATTCTCAAAAAGTCCAAGAGGAAGAAACACTTGCATGCCCCCGCCCCTTTTTTTTGAGGCCCAGTATTATCCTAATTCTAAAACCACAAATTATAGTCAATGTTTCTGATAAACATAGATGCTAAAATCCTTAACAAAATATTAGCAAATCAGATCTAGGAATACGTTAAAAAGACCATTAACCATGAACAAGCAGGATTTGGCCAGGAATGCAAGATTGGTGCATAATAAATGTAATATATCACACAAACAAGATGAAAGATAAAACTCACATTATCATATTGATAGATGCAGAAATGCATTAGACAAAATCCAGCACCCATTTATGATAAAACTTTTAGCAAAGTGGGAATAGAAGGATCATACCTCATCATAAGAAAGGCCATAAATGAAAAACTTATAGCCGACAACATATTCAATGTGCAAAAACTAAAAGCTTTTCTTTTAGGATCAGTAACAAGACAGGGATGTACTCATATTCAACATAGTACTGGAAGTTTTAGCCAGAATGATCAGACAGAAAGAAGAAATAAAGGGCATCCAAACTGGAAAAGAGCAAGTAAAATTCTCATTATTTGCAGATGACATAATGCTGTACATAGAAAACCCTAAAGACTCCACCAAAACAAAAACAAACAAACAAAAAAACAATAACAAACTACTAAAATTAATAAATTAATTTGGCGAAGTAGCAGGATACAAAATCAATGTCCAGAAATCGATGGCATTTTTACACAACAATAATGTACTCTCACAAAGAGAAATTAAAAACAATCTCATTTCCCATTGTAAAAAATAAGATACCTTGGAATAAACTTAGTCAAGGAGGTAAAAGACTGGTACTCAGAAAACTGAAGGACATCGCAAAAAGATATAGAGGAAGATGCAAATAAGTGGAAGAATATACTGTGCTCATGGATTGGTGGAATTAACATAATTAAAATGTCTATACTACCTGAGCAACTTATAGATTCCTATTAAACCACCAATGGCATATTACACAGATTTAGGTCAAATATTCCAAAAATGTATATGGAACCAAAAAGACCCAAGGCAGATTCAGTAATCTTAAGAAAGAAGAATAAAGTTGAAGGGATCAGGATACCAAGTATCAAACTATATTACAAGGCCACTCTAATCAAAACAGCCTGATATTGGCACAAGAACAGGCATTTAGACCAATGGAATGGAACAGAGAATTCAGAAATCAACCCAAGCCATTATTCTCAATTAATATTCCACCAAGGAGGCAAGAGCACACAATGGAGTCAAGACAATCTCTTCAATAAATAGTTTTGGGAAACTTGAATAGGTACATAAAAAAAAAAGAAAAAGAAAAAGAAACTAGATCACCAACTTACACCATACAGGAGAATGAACTCAAAATAAATAAAAGACTTAATAAGCCTGGGAACATGGAACAGACTGACAAATGTCAGAGGGAAGGGGCTAGGATACGGGATAAAAGAGGCTGAAAAGATTAGCGAAAGAACATATAAGGGAGAGGGGGCAGAGACTTGGCAGAGGGGATGACCATGGGTGACATCCATAATAGTATCAACAATTTAAAAAAAAAATAAAAGGGGGTGGGGTGAGGAGAGGACCCAAATGGCGATATGCTACTGCAGCCCAGGGTGCAGCAAGAGTGAGGGTCGGTGGAGGCTTCAGCTTCCGGGCTCTATTGGCCGTGCTCCCCTGGGCCTCTGGGCCGTTCGTAGGTCCAGGGCAGAGGGTGGGGTCCTTGTGTTGATAGATTTAGATCCAGGATCCTCTTGAGGGTCAATCTGAAGCTCTTTGAGCTGATTCCAGTGCCCACCAGGGTGACTTTGGTGGGATCTGCAGTGGGACACTGGTGTCTGACTTTCACAGAGGCTTACCCTAGGGTAGCCTGGACAGGAGACTCACAAGCCCCATCTGGCCACTTGGTGTCTTAGTTTCTATTGTCCCACTAACTCTCCTCTCTTTCTTAGGGCGATTCTGGGAGCCCCCTCACCTGTGACCTCCTCAATGCCTGGGTTCTGGTAGGGCTGGCCAGCTGGGGCTTGGACTGCCGGCAACCCATCTACCCCAGCGTATTCACCAATGTCACCTACTTTGCTGACTGGATCCGCGAGATCCAGAGGCTCACACCTCCTCCTGACCCCACAGCTGCTCTTCCTCAGACGGAACTTCCATACCAGCCTCTGCAGGCTGCAGGCTCTCCGGGGCCTGGCACGGCCCTCTTGCCTCCCCAGACCTGGCTCCTACTGCTGTCTGTGCTCAGGGTCTGAGGCAGGCCCTGCAGCGACTGGCCCAGTCCCTCTCCCCTGCTGTCTGCCTCAGCTCCAGGCTCCATGTCTCCCCTCCCCACACCCCAGCTCTCAGTGTGTGCTTCCTTCTCCTTGGCTTTCCTGTCCCTCAACTGCCACCCCCAAAAACTAAGCCTGAAAAATAAAAACAAACAAAAGTGTCATTTTCCTCCTGTATCAGGATCCAGTTTTCTCTCCTGCACCTTAGAACTCACTCTTCCCTTGGGGTCAGTCATCTGACTCCGTGGGCAAGGAGGGGGCTGGGCAAGGATACTGTCCCAGGAGGAAGGCAGGGGTGCAATGCTGAGGGAGCCAGTCCTGAGCTGGGGAGAGAGCTCTGCTCCTGCTGGGGTGCTTGCAGGCCTTCAGTCACATCAGTTAGTGTGGCTGCTGGTACAGATACCACAAATCTTATGTAATAGAAGCCTAATATGCAAATTGTCCTCACATGCGGTCATTCAACCAGGAGACCGAGAGTTAGACCGCTTGCTATGATGTGTGCTGACCACCAGGGGATGGTGTGGAACATGGGGCATTGATGACACAGCGCTGGTAGCAGGCGGCAGTGGAGGTGCTGCCAGTCCCGATGGACCCTGATGAGAGCAGGACCCTGATGAGATTGAGACCCTATGAGAGCAGGACCATGGCGGGATGGTGGAGCAGGTGAGCAGGTGGTGCCAGGCCAAGGCGGGTGCAACAGGGGCTGATCACCACTCTGATTGCCCCACAGATAGTGACCAGTGGCAATGGCTGGGGCAGGAGTGTGGGACTGCCACCAGGCTTTCAGGAAGCCAGGCAAGGAGACCTGGCCTCAATTGATCACCCCACAGACAGGGGAGGTGCCAGGTGGGGCTGCAGGGCTGTAATGCTGGAGGTGGAGGTTGGGCCCGATCTCTGCAGGCCATCCTGAGGGATCCCAACTGTGCATGAATTCATGCACCAGGCTTCTAGTAATAGATAAAGAATATGCGGACAGCTTAAACAATAGGAGGCTGGAAGTTCAAGATCAAGGCGAGAGCAGAATTGGTTTCTCCTGAGGCCTCTCTCCTTGACTTGTGGATGGCCATCTTCTCTCTGTGTCCTTATATAATCCTTCCTCTGTGTGAGTCTGTGTCCCAACGTCCTGTCAGGTTGGGTTAGAGCCCACCCTAGTGACCTTATTTTAATGTAATCACCCCAGTGAAGACCTTACCTCCATTCTGAGGTTCTAGGGCCAGCATTCCAACAGATGGATTTTAGGGAACACAGTTCAGCCCGTAACAGGAAGTAAGACATTTTGCCAGGTGTGTGCAGTGCAGGGGAGCAAGGGTCTTCCCAAAAGTAGAGAAACATCAGTTTGGAGGAGGAGGACCACTCACAGTGGAGGTGGAGGGACAATTGAGCCAGACTAGGGTCCATGATCCCAACCAGGAGAAAGGGGGCTCTGGCCTGTGGTATCGTGGGCTCTCAGATGTGGGGAGAGGCCTGGGACAGTGAGTCAGGAGCAGACAGAGGAGGCCAAAAGCCAGACTGAGAGCTCAGGTTCAGACCTGCAGTCCTCAGACCTCCTCACCTGTCCCTGTGGTCCTGTTCTCTCGATCTGAAGGGATTCAACTGACTTCCAACCACCATGGCTCCCAGCTCCAGGTGAAACTGCTCCCTCTGGCCTGCCCCCAGGTGTCCACACCTTTCCCACAGTTGGACCCTGGTGTCACCTTTTTTACTTGGCTAACCCAGGTTATAAGCCTTGGCAATAAGCCTTGAGGCAATGCCCTAGGCTCGTGGTTAGCAAACTTCAACTGGAGAGCAATATGTGGCTCTCCAGCTACTGTTTGCTGCTCTGTTGACTAATGAGTTTGCTGACCACTGGGATAGGGGTTTAATTACAAGGAACAATAACAGCCTATAATTATTGGGAGTCAAGAATGGGCAAACTCATTAGTCAACAGTGGCAAATCGCAGCTCATGAGCCTCAGGTAGCTCACGAGCCGCAGTTTGCTGACCACTGGCCTAGGCCATCCTTTCCACCAATCAGCCTGACACAGGCACTGGTGCAGCCATCGGGACCCCAGCAGGCCTCACATGCACTCAGAGGAGCCTTCAGAACCCCTGAGAAAGTGGGAGAGCTCCCATCCAGTGCATGTCCAGTATGGACCAGGTGCCATTGAAAAGGTTCAGTGCAAATTCTTTCCAATCCTGGCATTTCCCAAATACCATGCACCCTCAGCGGCCACAAATAGCTACATGCCTATCAACACCAAGATCTCAGTGACTTGAGCCGGGTGTTCGCGCTGGAACTCCCTTCCCAAAGAGATCTTGGCAGGCCTCAAGGAAGAGTCTCCCCAGTGCCCACCCCTGCTTGGGCATTTTGGACAGCCCCTGGCTCTGGCCGCCCTCTGGCGGGAGCTCCACAGGGTGATGCCACCATGTGTAGCTGTGCGCCTGGCACCAGTGTCCCCGTTAAGAGCTCACCAATTTCTAACAGGAGGAAGATGGACCTTCTCTCCTTTGGTGATAAATTCAGCTCTGGGGTCTCTGGAGGGTTGCTTAGGCCCTGGGTATCAGTGAGTTACTGAGATAGCGTGTGGTTCACACATTCTCTGATTCAATGAAGAAACTTCCTGAGCAGCTGGAGATGTTATATATTTTATATGATCTAGGTGGTGGTCACACAGGAATATATCCACGTGAAAAGTCACTGAGCTGCAAGCTGAAGGTTTGTGAGTTTTACTTTATATAAATAGTACTTAAAATAAGCTGTAAAAGTTTAAAATAATTTGCATTTACCTGTAAACCACTGCTGGTTTCAAAGCATGTCTGCAAATCCTTTGATACTCCTCCCTGCGCCAGGTAGAGCTTAATTCCTCTCCCCTGGAATGAATGGAAGTGATGTCATGTGGCTTCCGAGGCAGGGTCCTAGCAAGCCTGGAGCTTCCACCCGGCTGCTGGCTCTCAGAACGATTTTTTCTTTGGGAAGCCAGCTCCACGTCAGGGAGGGGCAGCCTTATGGAGAAGCACTCATGGAGGGAACTGAGGCCTCACACCAGCAACCAGCAGTCCTGTGTGCCGGCCAATGGACACATAGGTCCTCTGTCCATGGCGCCCTCATGTCCTTGCAGCCGTTGCCAACACTTTGACTCATAAGAGATCTGGAACCAAACTTAGATGGTCAAGCTGCTCCCAAGTCCTAGTCCACAAACACTACCAGAGACACTAAATGTTTCTTTTTGTTTTAAGCCAGTAAATTTGGGGCTGATTGTTGCACGGCAATAGATAAGACTTGTCTGCATGGTTAGGGTTCTCTTTGACTAGGATACTTCACAACTGTAAAGGGATATATATATATATATATATATATATATATATATATATATATATAATACTTATTTATTTATTTATTTATTTTTAAATAAATCTTTATTGCTCAGATTATTACAATTGTTTCTTCCTCCCTCCCCATAGCTCCCTTCCACCCAGTTCCCACCTCACCCTCTGCCCTTACCTCCCTCCACCATTGTCTTCATCCATAGGTATATGATTTTAACCCAGTCTCTTCCTGCACCCCCACATCCTTTCCCCCTGATAATTATCAGTCCACTCCCTTTCTTTGCCCCTGATTCTATTATATTCACCAGTTTATTCTGTTCCTCAGATTTTTAATTCATTTGATTTTTAGATTTACTTATTGATATATATATGTATTTGTTGATCAGAATTTTTATCTTTTATTCTTCTTCCTCTTGTTAAAGAATACCTTTCAGCATTTCATATAATACTGGTTTGGTGGTGATGAACTCCTTTAGCTATTTCTTATCTGTGAAGCTCTTTATCTGCCCTTCAATTCTGAATGATAACTTTGCTGGATACAGTAATCTTGGTTGTAGGTTCTTATTATTCATCACTTTGAATATTTCTTGCTACTCCCTTCTGGCCTGCATAGTTTCTGTTGAGAAATCAGCTGACAATCATATGGGTACTCCCTTATAGGTAACCAACTGCTTTTCTCTTGCTGCTTGTAAGATTTTCTCTTTGTCTTTTGCCCTTGGCATTTTAATTATGATGTTCTTGGTGTGGTCCTCTTTGGATTCCTCTTGTTTGGGGTTCTGTGCACTTCCTGGACTTGCAAGTCTATTTCTTTCACCAGGTTGGGGAAGTTTTCTGACATTATTTCTTCAAATAAGTTTTCAGTATCTTGCACTTTCTCTTCTTCTGGCACCCCCATAATTCTGATGTTGGTACGCTTGAAGTTGTCCCAGATTCTCCTTACACTGTCTTCAACTTTCTGGATTCTCTTTTCTTCTTGCTTCTGCAGAGGAGTGTCCTTTGGCTCTTTGTATTCCAAATCTTTGACTTGATTCTTATGTTCCTCCAGTCTGCTGTTGGGTCTCTGTATAATATTTTTTTATTTCAGTCAGTTTATGTTTAATTTCTAGTTGTGTCTCATTAAATTTATTGGCCTTTTTCTCCTCCATTTTTTTTCACTTGAGATCTATTTCCTTGTCTCGGCATTTTCACTGCTTCCCAGAGTTTGTAGGATCAATTTGTGTGTTTGGTGTCCTATATGTCCAGTGGGTCAGCCTCCCCAGTTACCTGAGATAGACACTCTTAGTGCTCCCCTTTGTGGACTGTGTGAACAGCCTTGTTGTAATGAAGACTTGATAGTTGTTGGTATCACTGAGAAGAATTGACCTCCAGGCCCATTGGATGTGAGTATCGGCTGTGTCTACACTGGGATACCTTCTGTATTGGAGACAGTATTGTAGGATCAGACTTTCAACATTGCAAAAGCCTCTGTGCTCAGCTTGGGTGGGAAGGAGTCTAAGGGCTGAGCTGAGAGTCTTGGCTTCCAGTCAGCCCTGCCCTTGTGCTCTCACCTGAATTTCCGCCTGACCTCTGCCTCCTATGGCTCCCCACAAGTTTCCACCTGACCATCCAGACTCCCTGTTCAAGAATGTGTATGTCCCAGGGGCTCTCCCAGAATTGGGTTGGGTCTCTGTAGTGGG